ATCAATCACATTAATAAAAAATATGATTACTAATTAGAGTCAGTTTTCAGAAGGAAAAGATACATAAATGCATATAAATAAGGAATCCAACCCAGATATGGGACAGCTCAGTAGTTAACTAGATCAGGGGATTGGGAGGGAAGAGGATAGCATGTGTAAGAGTAGTGTTCCTAAGAGTAGCAGGCCAGTGTCTGAGAAGCATCCAAAAAGGAAGGAGTGATTGACCATGACACATGGTTTTGTTCAGTGGGACAAGTAAGAAGAGGACCCACCAATGTTTATTGGACATGAGAGTGTGGGGGTAACTGGTGACTGGGGCTAGTAGGTTCTATTTCTGGAGAGTGGTGGTGGCCAAATTCTGAGTTGAATGTGTTGAGGGTTAATCAGGAAGGGAGGAAGATAATACAGAGTATAGATAAATCTTCAAGAATTATGCTTGTGAAGGAAAGAAGTTGTAAGTGGTTGAAGGAGAGATATTCATTTCTTTGTTTATGCATGGGGAGGCCAGAGCATGTTTGACTATTGAAAGATAGGATAGAGTTTACAAGGAGTTGTGGACCATACAGCAGAGAGAAGGGAAAATTGTAAGTTTTCTAAGTAGTTGAAGAAAGCAAGAGATTAGATTCAGAGCATGTGGAGGGACTGGCCTTAGAAAACAAAAGAGCAGGATGGTTGCAGATATAAGTAGATTTGATGGAAAAGGTAAAGTTGTAGTTGTTCTCATTTAGCTGAATAGGTTTTCTCTGAAAGGCAGAGTTCTGAATACCTGTTGAAGGGGAAGTGAGTAACAGAGGAGCTGCAGGTTTGGAGAAAGTGCAGAAAGTGGGGAACCTTCTTTTTGCCAAGGGCCATTTGGATATTTATAACACCATTCACAGGCCAGACAAAAATGATCAACTTAAAAATTAGCCTGCTACATTTGGTCTAACGTTTAATTAACTCACTCCTAATGCCTTGGCAGGGCCAGACCAAATGATTTTGTGGGCCAGACGTTCCCTACCCCTGCTAGAGGGTCAACATCAAGATGAGTGAATGGACCAGGGAGAGTGAATGGACCAGGGAGATTGCTGGGCAGTGTTGAGAGCCAACTTCAGGGTGGTGAAAATTAAGCTATGGTGACACTTATCTGCCCTGTTGTGTGGCTCCCCCTGCAGTGTTTGGCTCCTGTAGGGTAGGCACGGAGAAAGCAGATACTTGTTTTGAGTTGAAGTGTCAAGAATAGATCAAGGGCCGAAACCAGTTTGGCTCAGTGGATAGAGCGTGGGCCTGCGGACTGAAGGGTCCCGGGTTCGATTCCGGTCAAGGGCATATACCTGGGTTTCGGGCACATCCCCAGTGGGAGATGTGCAGGAGGCAGCTGATCGATGTTTCTCTCTCATCGATGTTTCTAACTCTCTCTCTCTCTCCCTTCCTCTCTGTAAAAAATCAATAAAATATATTAAAAAAAAAAAAGAATAGATCAAGGCACAAGGGAGTGTAGGGTATTGGAACAAGTGTTTTTGAAATGATGGTCTCTGAAAAAAGAACCCAAAACATTCTGGATAAAAAGGGACAGGAAGAGTGAGCAGTCAATGGGGTAGAAGTGCCACCGTGACCAACAGTTAGAGTTAGTCTCAATGATGTATTTTAATGTGTCAATTGAACAATTCTTTCATAGGTCTGACTCCTGATGTCAGTCTCAGATGAAAGGACTTGTGGCCCAAAGCAGAGGCTTTGGCAAGACAGGGCCTGGGGTGAGATGAAGAGCCATCAGTAGTTGTTGGGGTCTTTTGAAACTCCATGTGGATCCTAGTACCTGAGGAATGTGACATTTCTTAGTCCTTGTGTCACCGTGAGGTCATGAAGCTGTTAAGTAAAACCATCTGTTTTAAAGCATCCTCCCTATATTTTTTGCAGCATCAAGGAAACTTGATCTTCAGTGGATAATGACAATACTTTCTTTCACCTCATTCATTTAGTTCTTAAACTCTCAGTGATGTATATTATTTGGAAATTAGTTTAAGACTCTGTAAGCAAACAATGAATAACCAACAAAACCAGACAATTTGCTAACATTTGAAATCTGATGCCAGACACAAGGATCTGGAGCTGGACCTGTGGAAAGAAGATGCTCTGAGGCGGTGCCATCTGCCCATATTATACAGAACAAATAATGCTTTCTTCCCTCTCTCTGGTTTTCCCAGCACCCACTTCTTCAGTTGCTGGAGACCATCTCCAGTAATGGAACTGTCATCACCTGGCTGGTTTACAGCAGCATCTTCTTAGCTGGTCTTCCTCCTTTAGGGCTCTCACCTCCCTTTTTACCCTACACTTAACTAAGCCTTACATTCTTGTTTCCTTCTGTTAAGGAAACAAGATTATTCAAAGAAGAGAAGCTCACTCTTTCCTCCCACATTGAGGTAGAAATCAATCAATCTGCATCTTAAAGTGTGAGACATTGGGCAAGTCAGGTAATGCTCCTGGGCCTTAGTTTCTTCACCCATTTGTAAACTAAAATGTGGCTATTGAACGATAGATGGAAAAGTTCTTAAAGGTTTGGAGTATGTGGATGGGCTAGAGTTCCCTTTCAATCCTGAAATTCTGTTACTGTGTTCCCCACCTGGGTCTTATTCCAGTTTTGGGAGTATAGCCCTTGAGCCTCAGGATTCTCAAGTGGACCAGGGAGACTGATAGGCAGTGTTGAGAGCCCACTTAAGGCTGGTGAAAATTATGCTGTGGTGACACTTATCTGTCCTGTTGGGGTGACCTGTGAGCTGCACCTATTTGAGGGTTGTTTGAAGATTTAATTCAGTTAATATTGCCTAGCACTGACACCTGGCACACCGATGTGATGTGGGTCCTTTCTTCCAGCTTGGTGCTTTACCTTCCCCACCCCACCATTTAGGCCCACCACTCACCAAGCCCAGTATTGCCTTTTGTTGATCAATGTTGTGGCTCAAATGTCCTAGCAAGACAAGCCATCTGCAACCCTCCCTAGGAACTCTTTCCTATTTCCAGCTCCTGTGGTTTTTGTTTGTATTTTTTGTTTGGTTTAAAAAAATTTTTTTTAAATATATTTTATTGATTTTTTTTCAGAGAGGAAAGGAGAGGGATAGAGAGTTAGAAACATCGATGAGAGAGAAACATCGACCAGCCGCCTCCTGCACACTTCCTACTGGGGATGTGCCCGCAAGCAAGGTACATGCCCTTGACCGGAATTGAACCTGGGACCTTTCAGTCCAAAGGCCGACGCTCTATTCACTGAGCCAAACTGGTTTGGCTGGTTTTTAATATCTTAGCCTTTCTTCTTTACCAATTCAAATGGAAAAACTGGCCTAAAAACCCCTTGAAAAAAAACCTCTAAAGATTTTGACTTTCCAATTTTTATTTTCTGGGACTCTTAAGATCAAAGGGAGACTTTTTTTGTCTGCTTCTATTTTTTGTTTGTTTGTTTTTGTTTATATCTTGGCAATGCAAGAAATATGCACATAATGAGTAAATAGACGAATTCTGAGAAGCAGCTCCTTTACCACATACAAGAACAAAACCCCCCTATTCTGGACACACATGCTGCTGCGGGCACATATGCATTCATTTCCTAAAGGCACTTCTGCCCTGGCCGTGCCTCTCACTGTCAGCAGACAGTTTGTGTCTGGTCTGTTTACGCAACTGAAACAGGCAGGATCCACCTCGGTCTAGGTCATTCTTGGGCTGCAACGTTTAAGCACAGCCCTTGGCTTTAGGAATATGTGGACTGAATGAATGGTTGCTAGGGAGTATGGCGGCGTCTTCATTTTTATGCTGGGCTCACTCCAATGCTTGCACGTGGGAACTTCACAAAAGTTATTTCACCAGCGCTGCGCTGAATCCTCTTATCGTACGGAGTTTACTGAAGTGGGGCCAGCTCCCCGCCTCTGCTTGCTTCCCTGCCAAGGTTCCAGAGGGGTGGAGTGGCCTGGAAGGCCGCTGGAAGAAGGGTGGGGTATTTGCTTTCTTATAAAGATGCTTTGGGAAACTGGCTCTGGAGCGCCAGGTTTTCAGGAAGAAATGAGCCTGGATCCCAATGGCAAAGAAAAAGGGCACGAAGGCTTATTTGCCGGTAGGGAGAAAGCTTGAAAGTTCAAGTGTAAGTAATGAGAGCGTGGCCCACGCCCAGGGAAGGGGCACCCTGGCTTGCCCCCAGAAACCCACTGACACAAGAAGACAGCAAGTGAAGTCAGTCTCCATGAACTCATTTCTTGGGCTCTCTGTGCGTGACACTGGCTCCTGGGTCATTGCGTCCATACTTAACTGTCCCGGGTTCCCGCTGATCTAGAGCGAATCCTCTTTCCCTAAACTCCGGTTGCGAAACAAATTAACTCCAGGGGAGAATCTGTCCGTGTCCCCAGGGAACGGGTCCCCAGGGACAGGCTAGCACAGGTAACGTTCAGTTCTGCCCCGCTGTGCCACCAGTTTCTCAATCAGGGACCCTCTCCGCACACGCACCAACTCTCCCCCCGTCCTTGGGGGCCCTTCCGTGGCTTCCAGGGCTCCGAGTTCCAGGCAAAACGCACAGGGAATGGCCCTGGGGACTCGTTCCCTTGAAAGCGCCAGAGTCCCGAAGAGCTTCCCCTTCCCGTCCCGCATTTTACGCAGAGCGAGCGGAGATGGCATTCCAAACACGAGCTAGACGTGTCGCGCCGGACCCTCCCTTTACATAGAAATAAATAAATGGAAGCCAGCAGGTAGCCCCGCTCCCCCGGAAGGCGCACCGCGGTCGCTGTCCCGGCGGCTGGGTGTCTGCGCTCCCCGCCTTCGCTGGGCTGACCCAGGAGGGGAGGAGCAGGAGCCGGAGGGGGTGTTGGGGGTGGGGTGGGTGGGGGTTGGAGCGCGAACCGTCCCGAGCCAAGACAAGCAGCACATTCACAAATAAGGCCCCCACCCCCAGCGCACGCGCTCCCATTTAAAGCCGCCGGGCGCCGCGGCCACAGGGCGGCTCGGAGGACGCGGCGGTCCAGCGCCACCCAGCCCCGCAGACTCACCCGGGAGTCCGGCCTCCGCAGCCCGCGAGGGAAGCGGCTACAGGTTCCGAGAAGGGGTCTCGCCTGGGACTGCCCCCTCTTCCCCGCGGGGGGACCATGGCACGCCCGGCTGCGCCCTGGCACTCGGCGCTCGCGGTCCGCATCTTCGGCAGCACCTGGTGGCTGCTATTTGTCGCCGGACAGGTAGGGCGCTCTGCGCGTTTGGCGTTCCTCCCTCTCCCGGCATTTTTTTTTTCTAGTCTGCGCGGCGGCGGAGAGCGCTCTCCCCAGCGAGGATCTGTCCTGAGACCGCGCTGCTACCCGAGCTGGGACAGGTGGCGCGGGTTTGGGGCTCAGGCGGCCCTCGCGGCGAGCCCGGGGCTGGCGGGGTCAGATCCGCGCGGAGCCTCAGCCCAGCCTCCGGGGGCCCTTCCCCGGCTTCCCGCCCGCGCGCGGGTCCTGCCTCCAGCTGGGCAGAGTCGGGGCGAGGAGGCGGCGCCTGAGCCGGGGTGCGGCCTTCTCCCGGGGAGCCCGAGACCCCGCACCCCTCCGGGACGATCCTTCGCGGAGTCCCTGCTCTCCTTCGTGGCGGAGGCTCGGGCGCTGGGACACTCGTCCTTTCCTTGTCCGGTGAACTTCTGACATCGTCACCCTGGGCCCCCCGCGTCCCTGGGTCGCAGCAGAGCGGGGTAAGAGGTGCGGACGCCAGCCCAGGTGGGCTCCCTGGCGCTCGGATTCTGGCGGGTGCACGAGGACGCGTCCTCACCACGCCCCCTTGGAGTTCTCCTAGGAGGCTGTTTCCGGAGCCAGAAGGGGTGTAGGATTTGGGGAGTTCTCCTGAGTGGGTGGCTCAGGCCCGGAGGCGGCACCCAAGGGCCCTGGGAGAGTGTCTAATCCACAGTCAGCTTGGCCACGGTTTATTCCTGAAGGACCCGGCAGGGAGCTGCTTAGGGAAGGGCCGGGTGTTAGTCAAACCCACGATGCGTGTAGTGTCTTTGGCATCCAGGCTTCCAGAGTCAGGTAACTTTTGATTAAACCGCACGATTTAGGCAGTTTGTACATAATTTAGCCTACATGAATTTGCTCTTCACAGTATTACTTGGGTAATTCTGGGAAAATGCCCAAATACTCTTGGCCGGAATTATGGCCAGATAGCCTCCCTTTCCTCTGTTTTGCTTATGGAGACTTGTCCAAATCGAGGGATTTCCTTCTCTTGCTTTTACTTAACGTTAGAAGCTTGTTTCTGGATCTTTATTTTAATGGTCACTTTGATTGGAGTGGTGCACTTTCTGAGGATGAGCAAGGACCAAGAATGATGGCTAAGAACGGCCTAAGGCAGGCTGGCCAGCAAGAGCTACCCTACCAAGGGACAGAAATTTTCAACAGGGAACACCTGCTTAGACTGGAGTGTTAAAAAAAAAAAAGCATTGCAAAAAACGTGCCTTAATTATCAGCAAGCTGTATTCCCAACATGCTTTGCTCCATGGCTGCAGAATTAGGATTGCCTGTGGGAGCTCTTGGAACTCCCTGCCACACCCCAGCTAGATTTCATCAGAATCCTTGGGGGCATGGGGTATCAGAATTTATAAAGCTCCAGGTGATTTCGTGGTGCAGCTGGGTTGAAAAATACTGTGCAAAAATCTGTTCTATAAAATCATGATCCCAAAAGGAAACTCGAAGGAGAACAGTAAAGAGGGCCTAAGAGACAGGCTCCAGAGGGCACCTTTAACTCGGAGCTTCCAGTCCTGCGCTGTCCCTCACTAGCTGTGTCATTGTGGTCAAGACCCTTAACTCCATTTCCTCACCTAGGCAGGTTGACATCTAACCCAAATCAAGACAGAATGCCTTGTCTTGTTTCCAAATATCCACAGGGGTAGAAATTCTTACCCCTGAGATTTGGGTAAAATATCTGAGAATATTTGATTCCAGCAAAATGCATAATGAGTTTCTTAGTCTTATGGGTTTGTGTTGTTGTTGTTTTTTGTCTGTTTTTTTTTTTTTATACTTGCCCACTTTGCCTTTTCAGACCTATTTCAAGTCATTTGGTACTTTTCAGATGTTTAGGATTTTTCTGCCATTACACACCTGTTTCCTCCTTGCTCTGCTTTGTCAACCAATTATCTTTCTGGATGAAGATGATGAAAGCAGATTTGAGCGCGTGCACGTGTGTGTATGTGCGTGTGTGTGTGTATGTGTATGTGCATGTGCCCACGTGCGCGAGCCTACGTTGGAAGTGGTTTATTTAACTCCAAATGACTTTTTCTAGTTCCTCTTGGCAGGGCTGCTGTCCACATGTGAGGAGCCTGACTAAACTTGTCGGGAAACGTGTAAACTCGGGCCGTTTGAAGTGGTAGATGGTCCTGTCTCTTGTTAGAATGCAATACTTTCCAATTAACTTACTCAGGTGTTGCTCAGAAGCAGCTGACCTTGCACCACTTTCTAATGTCCTCACCGGAGTGTTAAAACCACATGGGCATTATGTCTAACCAGTGATTACAAAGACCAGAAATTTGAGGGTACATAATATCAAATCATTCTATCACCAATAGCCAATACCAAATAATTTGAAATTGTTTGGAATTTATACATTCTTTAAACAGGTTTTAAATCAACACTCATCCATGAAGGCATGACTACCAGAGTTATCAGACCATATAAATATAGTAGAGGCCCAGTGCACCAATTCGTGCATGGGTGGGGTCCCCCGGCATGGTTGGCAATGGGGGCCGTGGGAGATTGGCTGTGGGAGCGCACTGACTGCCAGGGGGCAGATCCTGTGCTAAGCATCTGCCCCCTGGTGGTCAGTGCACATCATAGTGACCAGTCATTCGGTTGCTTAGGTATATATATATATATATGCCAGAATAAAAGGAGGGTGTCTATGTTCAAGAGCTTCTGGCTCCCTAAACTGAATTACACCTGAGCTTTATTCTCTAAAAGTCCAAAGAATGATTTAAATGCAAATAAAAATTATTTGGAAATCCCACCATTTTTTCTTTCTTTTCACTGAATTTCTGCTTTTGTGCTGGCTGAATCACCTTCCTAACTTGCAAGATTCTTTTCTTTCCTTGTGAAACTTGAAGGTAGCTCATTAATTAGGTTCTTAATGAAACTGATTATTTTACTGATACCACCTTCAGTTCATCAGCTGAACCCAAATTCATCCCATTGCCCAAATTGCTCCCAGGTAAGGAAGTAGACTACTATTGGGGTTATCACCTATTTAATGATTCCTATTACCTAACTATAGCAATCCCTGTAAAAATAAACAAGGTTGTGGCTAGATCAACACAAATCTACTGTTATTGTTTAAAAATACCACTTCATGTTCTTTTGTTGATATATCCGTGATAGCTCATTCAAACATTAAGGTTGAATATTTTCATTTACTATGTGTTATAATTGCATTCTTGTTAGGAATTCAGTAGGAAGTAAATAGTTCCAGGATGGCTGGAGAGAATTTTTGCCTTTATGGGCACCTGATTTTCAGTTAAAAATTTTGAAGGAAAGAAGACTTGTTTCTTTTGTTATTCCTCTTGTATGTCCTTGCTCTTGTTTTATTTTTAATTTTAACATGATAATAATTTTGCATGGTTAAAAAAATTATAAAGGTTTGTAAGGAAACAGCAACTTCTTGCCCTAGTCAGTCTTTTCTTTTTGTTGTTGTTTTATGTTATTTTGAGGTATAATTTACTTACAGTAAACCACACATCTTTAAAGTATACACTTTGGTAAGTTCTGACATATGTGTACACGCAACATCATCATTGCAGTTTCCTCATTACCATTTGCAATCCCTCCCTGCCTTTCCTGGCACCGAATGTCACCAAACAGTGATATACTTTCTGTCACAAAAAATTAATGTATCTTCTAGAATTTTGTGTAAATGGACTCATACAGTGGGTACCCCCTTTTAAAAAATATATATTTTTATTGATTTCAGAGAGGAAGGGAGAGGGAGAGAAAGATAGAAACATCGGTGATGAGAGAGAACCATTGACCGGCTGCCTCCTGCACACCCATGCTGGGGATCAAGCTCGCAACCCGGGCATGTGCCCCTGACCGGAATTGAACCTGGGACCCCTCAGTCCGCAGGTCGACACTCCATCCACTGAGCCAAACCAGCCTGGGCGGTACCCCCTTTTTAAAAAATATTTTTATTGATTTCAGAGAAGGAAGGGACAGGGCGAGAGAGATAGAAACATCCATGATGAGAGAGAATCATGGATCGGCTGCCTCCTGCATGCCCCGTACTGGGGATCGAGCCCGTAATCTGGGCATGTGCCCTTGACCAGAATCGAACCTGGGACCCTTCAGTCCGCAGGCTGACACACTATCCATTGAGCCAAACCAGCTAGGGCGGTACCCCCAGTTTTTAAATGTTTTTTTCTTTCATGCAGCATAATTATTTTGAATTATCCATGCTGTAGCATGTATCAATTAATTCCTTTTTATTCCTGAGTATTACATTTTATGGATGCACTATGGTTTGTTGTCCACCAGCATTCCCCTGTTGGTGCACAGTGTGTTTCCAGTTTTTGGTAATTACAAATCAAATTGCTATGAGGATTTGTATACAAATCTATATGAACGTGTCGTTTCATTTGTTTTATTTAGGAATGGAATGGCTGAATCATTGGTGTATGTTTCACTTTTTAAGAAACTGTCAGTTTCCAGAAGATTGTACCATTTTATTTTATTTTTTATTAAATTGATTGGGATAACATTGTTCAATAACTACACACATACACACACACACACACACACACACACACACACACATATATATATATATATATATATATATATATATATAATACTCAGGTGCACAACTTTATAATATGACATCTGTATACTCTATTGTATGCTCACCAACTGAAGCATAGTCTCCTTCCATCACCATGTATTAAAACCCCTGTATCCTCTTCATACTCCCCACACACTTTTCTCTGGTAACCATTTTGTTTGTGTCTATAAGTTTTTAAAATTGTTTTGTTTGTCCATTTGTTGCTTCCTGTTTTATATCCCATATATGAGTGAAATCATATGGTTCTTGTTCTTTTTATTCTGATTTATTTAACTTAGCATAATACTCTCAAGATCCACCCACGTTGTCACAAATGGCACTATTTTATCTTTTTTTATGGCTGAGTCATATTCCATTGTATATTCCAGTATATGTACCACATCTTCTTTAATCATCCATCAAAGGGCACTTAGGTTGTTTCCATGTCTTTGCTATTGTGAAAAATGCTGCAATAA